GGGGGGGGTTTGAATTGAATGATCAATTATTAGACCCGGACGTCCCAACACCTGCTTCGCAAGACAAACTCAAGGTATCCCCTAAAGGGCTACCTTTCGTGACATCGTTTAAACAAAGTGGATGTCGGTCTTGTGCTATGTCAACAGCGCGTGAAACTCTTTAAACATCAAAACCCTGGGTGTTCTTGCAAGACCTCGTCTTTTCACATGAGGTTTTGGAAGGTTTTGGTTTCTTCAGTACATGTCAGTCAAGGTTATGATAGGCGACATGTCAGTCCTTGGCCCCCCCAAGTAGTGGTCATCACGACTCAACACGACTCAAGGAGGTCGTCAGCACCTACAAGTCCATTGGCCCGACAAGTCCAGACTTGTACCAGGACCTTCCAAGTCCGGTGTGGTATACAGATCCCAGGTAGTTCCCACGTCGTAGTAAGGAACCAGGGGGGCCCTTGTTTGGTCGAACTGGGTTTAGTCGATCTGGAACCACTGGGACTCCCAGCGACATCGTGGGAAATGCCGACGGATGCCCTGGGATATACATCCCAACAAAGGTTGAAGGACCTTATAGGACCCTACTGGGGGACCCATAGGATGCCCTGGGGGTTGGGTTTTGCTGATGGTTTCAGACGACCAAAGGGTCAACCGGACTGAACTGGCGTGGCACCCTCCGCCCGTGGCACCATTGTACTGACCGGTGAGCGTCCAAAACCCCGAACAAGTTGTTTGTTTGACCGCAGAAATTCGAAACGACATCATTCAAAGTGCTTAGTAGGGGGCCGTGTCCCCACATCTAAAAACCACCATTCAGAATTGGTTCACCTTTCGAACCTCTTCTTGCTTAATAGTATAGCTTGTCTATAGTAGTAGCATGCAGTAACCACACAATCCATCACAACCCCCCCCAATCCCTAGGGATCCACATACCTTCTCAGGTACGGTACGACTGGGCCCTCCTGGCGCCTATATACATAACAGTGTCTCCGTCCTCACCGAACCTGAGGTTCGGTACGACTGGATCCCAAACGGGATCTTAAAATCATCCCAATGGGATCCCAAACCCATACACTCCATGTATGGAATATCAGTGTGCCTTTTTTTCGACTCTGGTCTTACGACTCCCGGGAGAATCCTCCTCGGAACCCCTGGGAGCTTCGGTCCGTTGGCGGACCGGCGACGACGGAGTGGGTGCGTCCGGTCGCACCGAGCGCGTTGGTTTCCAACGGGTGACGTGTTGGTTTTCAGGAAACAGGTCTTCAAGGGATCAAAGAGGTGGAACGTGACCGTGTAAATAGGACCCGTCACCTGGGGTTCCCATAGATGTCTATATACCCTAGGGCTCCAGTCGTACCTCCTCAGAAGGAATCTGGACCCTCTAAACCCACCCCAGTCCCACCTTCTAAGAAGCTACTTGGAGCCCTAGGGATAGGGTCATTCAACCTGCGCCAATCAATTTCACCCCTTGGGCCGAATTGGGCCGTCTGAATCGGCAGCACCAAACGGCGGTCGTGCCTGGGTGTGACAATGAAATATGGCGGCCCTAGCCTTCAAAGACCATTAAAAGAACGGTTTGCCGAGAAACGGGCGTTCGGGATGGTGCCAAAGGGGTCTGGCTGTTTCTCGGCATTTGTGGCAGTCCCATGGACTTTGGGACATGTGTTCAGAAGGGAAACAGGTTTCTTGTTGGAACATTCGACTGACCCAAAGGCAAGTTCATAGTCTGATGATGTCTGATTCATAGTCTCGTTTACACACTGATCAGTACATATCAGTACAAATGAGGGTGCCCGGAGTAAATAAGCATCACTCCAAGAAATACAACGCCAAACCAGTCTCCAATCTTTCAACTACCATGGATTTAGATGGGTTGAATACCTGGACCCTCCAAAGGGTGTCCAATGGACTACCCCACACTACCTATAGGCTTCCATTGGGCACCCCTTGGAGGGTCCTGGTATGGGTAGTTTATTCATCAACTTCCCTGGTTCAACAACTTCGTCGGGGGGGAAGGCGCCGTGTTCAAAAAAGTGTTCATTGCACGCAGCAATGATAACAATCCCAGGGCATCCAGTTACCACTATAGCTGGTAACCAGTGGTTCCAAAGACTACAACAATAGACCTAGAATCCCTGGTTCCTTATATAGTGGTAACTGGGATGCACTGGGAATGAGAGGGAAGGCTAGGGCAGTTCTTTTTCTCAGAAAGGGACGATCATGACCCGACCGCCATTGAGCTTGGATGCATTTGTTGGGCCTGCGTCGATGAAGGCAAACATTTGTTGCAGCCCAATGTAGAGCGGGAACATCTACAGGAAACCAAAAGTTTTGAAGGTGAAAACCTTGCTTTCCTGTAGCTGCTCCCTTTAACCAATCCATTGAATGAGCCCATGAGAAGGACCTGTCCTCTTGTTGATCTTGTTGGGCTATCGCATGGAAGCTGCAAAATGATACCTCAAGGCCCCCCATATACAACGCCATGTGCATAATCACATGTGTTTCCGCATGTGGTACCACCATGCTTAGGGCGTTATGGGCGTTCGAAACATCCCAAAAGCCTTCGGAATGACCGAAGCCGTACAGGACTGGAAGATCTACCCCAACCACCGAACCTGGCAAGCAGGCCTGCCGAACGAGCCATCTGCTCTGCGAAAGCGCCCCTTCGGGTCGTGTTTGGTGTAGATTTGGGGTACATCTCAGTATATCCCAAACACCCAGAGCCCAGTGGATGATGATAGGGCCTGGGGCCGCTACCAGGCGCCATCTCTTCAATAGTGTTCTTGTGAATTCCCCTCTCTTACAGGTTTACTGGAACAAGCCCAAGGTAGATTCTTCATTCAATAAAACCATTTGGCTTGTCAATCTGTCCGTGATGTCCAGAACCCCAACTCTGTGTGGATCGGCGCGTGGTTGATTTGGCTGGGGAGCTGACCCCGGTAAGATATGTAACCCTAGGGCTCCTGGCCCACCACCTGAGAAGGGTGAACCCCGAATCAACTCAGGATTTTTCACTACAAAAACCAGGTCAACCATTCAACAATTTTCTAATTGGTCGAACGGAAGTCGAACGGGGCTAGGTGGTATGAGGAGGTCACATCCATCCCCCATCTACTTGGCCGTGGCCGGTCACATCGATCTTCCCACTTTCTCCCAGGCTTCGTGGCATCCCAAAGAAGGCAAGTCTCCAGATGGTAGATGGTTTGGCCGGCCACATGGTGCCTTGAATCATATAGTCAGTGGCAAGTAAACCAAGCAGCCTACGAACCAACCAAGTTGTAAACAAATCATTCAATGAAAATTGACAACATCATATATACTCACATGTGCAAGCTGTTTTCAGCACCTCAAAGAAACACTCACCCAGGACCCTCTGGGACCATCCGACCATGAGGGTCACCTGGCTGGACCACCCTCTACCCTACTAATCCTACTCTCCGGGGATCTCACACGCCAGGACACGGTCAGCTGCTGGTCGGATGGTCCAAGGAAAATGCTCACATTCCAAGAGAGGTCAAGTGACCTGAACTAGGACCCTACTGGGCTACCTATGGGATAGTCTAGTTCGGGTCATTCAACCTCTGTTGGTTGGACAGTCCATGACAGCAAGTCGCTGGTGTTTCCAACCCCGCTCCGCTCTATTTGGCTCCACGCCGGTCCTCATGGCACCCACGCGTCACTTTGCGTCACGGACAGCGGCGTCGCAGGTCCAAGTGGCCGAAGGCCCTTAGGATCTCTTGTGCATTGCCTTGGCTCATCACCACTAGGCCTCGGTCGGTCCGGGCGATTGGTGCTTCTGCTTGAAGTACTGAGCTTTATTTAGTACCAAGATGTACCAAGTCAACTGTGGGGGACGTCATTCCCAATGCAAAAGGAAATGAGGCCACCAACCAGTCTGGTGCTTGGGTTGGGTTAACCCTTGTTGGTCGACTTGGTTGACCTTTGCGGGACGACACTTGGGGCGCCAGGCATGATGAACTGGCTAATTATGCCAGCGCGGCTTTTGTCGGCAAGTCGAAGCTTGTTTGAAAGGCGAGTCTGGACTTGGTCATCTGCCTGCCGAGCCGTTTCAACCAGAAAGTCCCCAATCCTCCAATTTAAGGTGCTCCCTTATCCACAGACTTCCTGGGGAGGTCAGTCTGTGATGTGAACGTCTTGCTGGGGACGCAAGTTACCTAAGGTTTGAGGCTTCACCATCCGATATGTCTCTGCCCAGTTCGGCTCAGAAGGAGCTCACGAATACAGCTGAAACATGTTTCCCCATGCGGATGTACCCAGTTCGGGCCAGTCAACACATCACCTGACCAGCAAAACCCAGGATTAGTGGGAGAACAAGGCCTGAATCCAACCCTACGGACGTCCAGTCTGACTCAGGTCGAAACCTGGTCCTGAAGACCTTCTTGAATAGTGTTTTTGTATGACCCACTTCAGTAAAATGAGGTCAGTTCCTGACTTGGAGGGGCGTCGACGTCTACCTCGATCTTCATCGGACACTGGAAGGAACGCCGGGGAAAAAAATGGTAATACAGTAATCCCTAGGTGGTTAGACCACCCTGGCACCCACCCCAACCATCTTCTCAGGAGGTAGTTGGAGCCCTAGGGAAAATGAATGACTGGCAATCCAACTTCTTCCCAACTTCTTTCCCTTGGTAATCTACACTGCGCTCTTCAAAAAATACAAGCACCAACCCAAAGTCAAATATTTCTCCAAACGCAATACGCAGGCATATGATTCCAGCATGTTCCAACCAACATGTTCCATAATCACTCATCCAATTGGTTTAGGACCTTAAAGAAAGCTCGTCACAAATCCTGTAACCAAAGGTCACGGGTCACCATGCGACATCGGCGGACCCCTGTCCGGTCTCGCTGGTGGTTAATGGACCTAGTGTCCATCCAATCACCACCCGACATGGGTGGTGCTACTGTAGACTGATTATATTCATGACGCCTCCCATACCCAGACGTTCCATGTATACCATATATGCCTACATTGACCACCCTGGCCCCACCCCAACTGATCGGCAGTCCTATGGCCGTCTCAGGTCCGGGTCGTCTCTGGGATATGAAGAGGTCACCCGTTCAGTTTTTGCAGGTGATCTGCAGAAGGTAGTTAGTTGAATCCCACAAAAAGACCCCTGACTCCTTCAGCTTCCAGGAAACGAAACGGTTAATCACACTTTCTACCTGTTACTTGTTGAGTTGGCTGTCCCAACTGGCATATATACTGTCCTGTCTAGACTACCCAGCCCACTTCTAGATCGAGATCACCGGACATGACACCTGCAGCTGGGATGGTCTGGGAGCTGTGTCCCCAACCACTGAACCACTGACTGAGCGCCTCCAACCCACGCCAAGAGGCGCATCTTAGCGACGGCGCAGGCGTCGGGAGGCATGGCGATGCCCACGCCGTCCCGGGCCCAGCGCCACTCGAGGTAGTCCTGGCGATGCAGGCGACGCGGTGCAGCGGCGGTGCACCCCCCGCGGCTTGAGAAAGACCAGTGGCGCCCGGTTCAACCTGGACCCAATTGGCGCGCGGTGCGTGTGTTCAGTGCAGCTTCTAATCGCGTGATATCGCGATGGCCAATCGAATTCTGCAGCTTGAATGGCAAAAGATGCCCTCATCAAGTACATGCTGATTGCACTGCTTGTTAGGTCCTTACCTACTAGTAGGTCTTACTACTTGCTCTTGGGATATCTTGGAATAAGTCATAAGTCACCCCAAATCCAGGAACTTAATGGCACACCAGTTCTCAGCCGTTAACAAAACGGAGAAACAATCTGGATCATTTCACCAGCAAACATGTACAAACCATGAATTTTCAGTTTTGACCATGTCAACAGCGTGGTGACAAGTGTGGGACAGCGGTGAAATCCTGCAAAGAGAGGTGTGGTCCTAGTCTGATAAAATACACACATGGCCACAAAGGCCATGTTAATAAGGGATATAATATGGGCCATGGATGGCCACGGGGAAAATCCATTGATCAATCCACATTTCCTCGGAAGATTCTCTTCGAATCATCCCCTGAAAACCTTCAAACAAAGCCCTAAGCCCTGGCCCCAGCCTTCAAAAAGCCATTAAAAGAATGTGAACGATCTGATTCTGTAGTGTAAACTCCTCAGTAAAACAGCTGGCCGACCCTCCAAAGTACTCAAGAAAATGGAACATTGCCCTATAAAAACAGGTACTTCGGGTACATGGTACCCATTGATGCGAGGTACTTTGAGGCTCCAGCTGGTGCTTTGGGATGACCCGACCCGTTTCTTCTCAGCTGGCTCTTCGACTTTTTCGGGGATTCCCTCCGATTCAGCAGGGCAACTGGGACCACCTTGGAGGGGCATTCCACCTTGCATGAGGTCCGTTCACCTCCAAGTTGACGCTTCTTGTAGCACTTGAGAACCCGTTTGGGCTCCGAACGGCCTACCTCTGTGGGCCAGGGGTGGGTGGTTTTGGGGGGGGTCGAAGACCACCGGTCACCTGAGGAGATGGGCCAGGAGCCCTATGAGAATTTCTGCACCTCTTCCGAACTTCCCATCCAAATATCCAAACTACCAACCCGCGGACCCCTGCTCTGCATCAAACATGTCATATATGATCAAATATGGCCCTTTCCAACCAACAACATCCAACACCTGGTTTCCGACAAATCCTCATGCTGCGAAACCAACTTTGCCAGGACCCTCTCAGTGACCGCACTTGATCTCCTGGATAGAAATCACGGGCCTGCGATTTAGGTCACAAACAGGGACTCCTGGTCATTCGGTCAGTGGGAAGGTCTTCAGCAATCTGACCGTCGTCATCAGTCGTCCCTGCCAGTGTATACGACAGCTCCCAGCTGTGTGCCCTTTTTGTTGCACCTACGGCACCTCCGGTTGCACCCCAGAACTCCTCCAACCCTCCAAACCGAACCCGGCCTCATAGACCTGTGTTTCGGTCTTGGGCCCCAAGTCCCACACCACCGGAAACGACTCCTCGCCACGTCTCCGGTGCCGTTCCGCCGATCTCGAGAGGGTCCGAAGGCCTGGTCTGAACTCGACATCGTTTGATCCGCCAAACAACCAGGTACTAGAACCGGACCCTCCGTCTTCCAGCGTCTGCATGGTGCATGGTCTTTCCTGGCTGAGACGTGGCTCCCTGACCAATCCGCCCAGCCACTGCCGTGCCGAGGGTCCCACAGCCGAATCTGGAACACTGAGACCCATGCCCATGGGCGCCCGGCCCATGGGCGCCCGGTCCTTCAGTCTTTTTTGGCATATTTTGGATGAATAACCCCCAAGCCTGAAGAGGTTGAGCAATTCAATTGTGGTGGTTGATTTATAATCAAGAGTCTACATTCATGTGTCCAGCCACATGTTTCAACATCCCCTCAGCTGCTCAGCCCAAGCATCGATGAAGTTTGTCAGAACTGGCAGCGGAAACCTAAGCCGGCAAAAAGGAACTCGCTCCGTTCATGATACAAAACGCAACATAAAATGGAGGCAAACAAAGGGGCGGGATTACCCGAGATAAACGGACATGGTGAACTTACAGGTGAACTACAAGGCTTTTTCACGATGTGTCAGGATTGTTTTTGAGCGTTGCTGGACTGGTTTTGGGATTCCCAAACGCTCCAATCAGCTCTTGGTCCCTCAAAACCCTAGGGATTGGTTCGGGTCCGGACCCCTCCAAAGGATTCGACTTATGATCGTGCGGTTGTCTGGTCCGCTGGTCCGCTGGTCCGCCGGTCCGCCGGTCCGCCGGTTCGCCGGTCCGCGGGTCCGCTGGTCCGCCGGTCGCTGGTCCGCCGGTTCGCCGGTCCGCCGGTTCGCCGGTCCGCTGGTCCGCCGGTCCGCTTGTCCGCTGGTCCGCCGGTCCGCTGGTCCGCCGTCCGCCGGTCCGCTGGTCCGCCGGTCCGCTGGTCCGCTGGTCCGCTGGTCCGCGGTCCGCTGCTCCCCTCCTCTCATGGATGCGCTCGTCCAGTGGTCCGGTCTGCGGTTCCGGTGGTCTATAAACTGGACATGGAAAGATTTTTTTGTTCTTCAGACAGCAACGTTAGGCAGCGTCTGACAATCAACCTCGTTGGGCCTGCCCTGCAAGCATGATGCGGCGGAACGGAAGCGCCTCACCTATACCTGGGGCTTGAAGCCGAAAATCAGTAACAGAAGTCACCCTCATTGAACTGAAGTGATCATGCTTTGGAATGCCCACCAGAATCTCTGATGTACACCGTGCACCCTGCTTTTTCCAAACTTCAACGCCCCCATCCCTGGCCACTTCTCCTGCTAGTCTTGCACCACAGTGTAGGCGCAAGGTCTGCCTACGCTGCTGTTGTGGCTGACAGGTCTGCAATTAAGGGAGACAAGTTCGGATCTAGATTGTCATGACCAAATTCTGGGAAGGGCTCGGCGGGTGGAATACCTACGGGTGGATTGGTTTCACGCAGGTTTTGCAGGACCCACTTGGCTGCCTGCACCTGAACAACCAAACACCTGCGGATGAGCTCTTTTCACACTTCCTTAGCGACTGTTGTATATCTCCACAACGGCTCACTCCTCATCTCTGGGCCGTTTGCGCCGATCTTCCTGGCGCTTCCTTTCCTGGTTGCTGGATGCTTTCTCCATGGCGGCCACCAGCTCCCGCAAAGTCAGCCCACAAGCCCTCATCAATTCATTGTGGTACTTCACCTTGCCCTGCGCTGTGTCTGGGATCACTTTCAAACACAAAGTCTCACCCTGGAGCTGAAGGATGCTGGAATGCTGCTCTGCGGCTGCCGCCATGACCGCTGTCCATTTCTCTTTCGGAAGCGCTTTGCGGCGGCCCTGCTCCCTGCTGGTGCGCATTTTGTCACACGCTTCTTTGCGAGTCATCTTTGGCTTGCCGGTCAGCAAGGTGTGCTTCAGGATTGCCCGGTCTGTCCAGTGACGGCTGAAGAGACCGTCAGGCTGGACTGTGACGCCATTCTCGCCAAAACCAAAATCACTTGCCCGCACTTCATCAAGAACCAGCGGCTTTTCGCCTGCGGGTGGATCTTGGGGCGGTAGGTCCTCCACGACTTCGGCCACGCTGTCTGGAGGCCTTTCAAGCGAGTTGGGCCCAGGTTCCGCATCTTCTTCTTCAGGTTCAAGTTCAAATTCTTCTTCCTCGCCAGCTTGGGGAAGTCGAAGTCCGGGACCATGCTGGGTCGAAGCAAAATCTTCCGTCTGATAAGGAACACGCAAAGTTGCCAAATCGAAAGCAGGTTGCGGACTTGGCTGCTGGGGAAAATGGTCTGGGCTAGCGGCTGCATCTCCCAAAGCAATATGCTTCAGCTTCTGGACCTGAATTCGCGAATATAGCGCCAACCACAGATCTTGGGTTTTTGAAAATAAACAAACAAGAAACAAAGTGCCAAGAAACCAATTGGAGCAGAGCATAGGCCCTTTGGCAATGATCTGGAGTGACCTGCAAATCCCTCCGTCCAAGAGCTTCAACACTGTGCGCACCCAAAAAGATTTCAAACACCAGGAGCAAAGCCGCCAAAACTCCCACTTGCCACGGAGCGGCTCCAAAGCGAGCGCCACCCTGAACATCCCCTGATTCGCGAGACAGATGGGCTTGCACATTCATTCCACCTTGGTAGGACATGTGCCAAGACTCCGCCTCCGGAGTGAGGGCAATGACTTGGTGAGGTTGGTCGAAGTAGGCAGTGACTCGGGAGACAGCGGCCGTCAGGGAGCACTCTGCTGGAATGGCAAAGCTTCTGTTGGCAACGCGCCACTGAGCTTCAAACCCAGACGTCGACGCAGGAGAACGTTTGAACCGTAGGCGGCTCATCTTGCCATCCAAGAGCCTCACAGGGTACCCATCTTCTGATGGGACATAGTCGCCCGCTGCATTCGCTGGGTGAGCTGCACTGCTTTTTCATCTTCAAGGCCAACGTCTTTCCACTCCTGAGCAGCGGCATCTGGCGAAGCAGCCTCTTTGGCTATGCCCAGCAGTTCCGCAATTTCGGCTGTGAGAGGAACCCATCGGTGCCGGGAAACTCCTGCGCTAAGCAAATCCAGCGAAGAATGTGAGCAGACTTTACAGAATCCAAAACGCTTTAACACAACACCCATCGCGCAGAACACCTGTCCTGGAGGGCAACAGAAATCTGCCGGCATGTCTTCATGCGGCTGCACAGGGCGGCCAGTGGAGATGACAAACCGTTCTTTGGTGGAAGCTGCGTGGCAACCAACCTCACCTCTTTCCATAGGGATGTATTGCGCAGGGTGCATATTGCAAGTGATCCCCATGCTAACGGTTCTAGCAAGCTTCTCTCCATAGCTCCCATTTGTTTTCGTGGCGCGAGCGCTGGTTCCAAACTGCAAGAGCTTGTTGAAGGCACTCTGGTACGGGTTCACCCTTGCCTTGGCTTTCTCCTTGGATGCAGGCCCATCGGACAAGAGACCCAAGCTGAGCAGGAAGTCGTAGGCCTCATCAAAATTCCCCAGCAAGCCAAACCAGCATCGGCCAGTCCAGTCTCCGGGCAACTTGTCAGCATTTCGGACCTGGTTCCAATCGCCCGAGCATCGATGGAACCACTCCTCAGGTGTTGCGCTGGCAACCATTGCGGAGAATAGCTTCGGCTTCAACCTGGCACAAATGGCGGGCTCGTTTTTGGTTAGAATTCAACACCTAAAACTTCCCAGCCCCCTGTTTCAACAGCCCGCTCACACCTGTGCTGCACTGGCGCAGGAGCGCCTTCTTCCACACAATATGTCGCCAGCTTGGACTCTGCGTTCGTCAAGATGACTGCGTCCAACTCCTGCCCACAAGCCTCTGCATGTCCTGTCAAGGATGATTTTCTCGTCTGGGCGTAGTTGACATTAATAGCAACCAACGTCAAAGGCGATGGCGAGGTAGCAAAGACAGCCACTTTGGCACCGTTCACAAGAGCACACATCAGCGACAAGCAGCGGAGGGCGTAAGGAAATTCTGCATGGGCTGCCCTAACAGCGTATGTTTGGCAGAAGCGGTGCCCAGCTTCTCCAAGGATGTAGCTTGGGTCGAAGCACTTGTCCACTTCATCCCACATCAAATTCATGGCAGGGATGTACTGTCTGTCTTCGTGGGCTCCAGACAAGGGCCCCAGAACTGACGACATGGCTTGGCCGCGCCACCGAGCTCAGAGCAGACGCGGCTGTCACGGCCATCATGCAAGGCTTTGTTGGAACACTTTAGTCAGACTTAGTCGAAGCTACGCAAAACAGTTTGGTTTCAAAGCGAGGCATCTGCACATGCGCACTGACAGAGTCATGTACCGCGTGATATGTAGCCGTTTGAAGCAACAGGTCGATGCAATGAGCGGGTACGACACACCATGAATTTTCCATTCCACAGCTTCGATCCAGTCTATAAGGCACAGGCCGTGCTTGAAATCCTAAATCTTAACTTTAGACTGTCAGTCGGTCCCTTCCACTGCCGCAGAGCCGGCGACCTCCTCTGGTCTGTAGCCTCCTTGGAGTATAATTTCATTGTGGCTCCACGCCATATCGAGCAAGAAGAATTGGAAGCCGTGCTTGTTCATGTGCTTGGTTTGGTGCTTGTACTTGCTCAACCAGGTAAAAGTGAATTCACAGACCGAAGTCCGAATGCCTTGAAGAAGAGAAGCGTTTGCAGGCAAGGCTGGGTCGCACGTCTCTTTACACCAAGCATCGGTATGGCCAGCCATGTGGAACTTGTCGCACACGTACTTCATCTCTGGCGGGGCTATCTGGGCAGCAGCTTCTGAATCCTGCGCATGGGCAATATAAAACGTGAAACGCATTCACGCAAGAAACAACAGAACACTAGCACGGTGCTTATAGCTCTCACTGCCCAAAGAATTTCGTGGCTTTGTCATCCCCTTTGAGTTTCCGTCCTGGGCGCGACGAGCCGCGTACTTGTGCAAATGGCAAGCATCATCGTGGACCACCACGCGAAGGGACGGCAAGAGGGCTTTCACAGACGCCAGACATAGGTATCTCTGGCTCAACGACTCACAGCCGTAGATTTCTTGCATGTGCAAAATCAAACCCTCAGACAAACACGCGCACAACATTCCAGCAGATTTGGCAAGCTGCCTTTGAGCAGCGCTGCCTTCCTTGTGTGTGCAGCAAGTCACGCACTGCAAATCTGTTGGGTCGGACGAGCGCCCAATCTCTTGCAACGTTAAACTCGCAAGCATCGAAGGTCCAAGCGATGAGGAAGAGCCGCCTCTGCCGTCTGCCTCCTCTTCTCGCCGTGGGCGTTTGCTGGGTTTCAACTTCGCCTCGCCCACTTGCTGCAAATAGTTGGACAGGACAGACGCTGGAACTGCAGAATCGGATACCCAAGCTTCTCTTTGAGGCTCCACAGTCTCTTTCAGCAAGACCATCAAGCACTGTCCGTCATTGATGAGCTTGTGCTGAAGAATGGTCACTTCCTGAGGCAGAGTGGCT